GTCTAGTCCCTTAGTCTTGCTCTAGTCTTTGAGTCTTGGTCTAGTCCTTGAATCTTGGTCTAGTTTTTTAGTCTTGGTCTAGACCTTGAGTCCTGGTCTAGTCCTTGAGTCTTGGTCTAGTCCTTTAGTCTTCCTCTAGTCCTTTAGTCTTGCTCTAGTCCTTTAGTCTTGGTCTAGTCCTTGAGTCTTGGTCTAGTTCCTTAGTCTTGCTCTAGTCCTTGAGTCTTGGTCTAGTTCTTTAGTCTTGGTCTAGTCCTTTAGTCTTGATCTAGTCTTGAGTCTTGGTCTAGTCCTTGAGTCTTGGTCTAGTTCTTTAGTCTTGTCTTAGTTCTTTAGTCTTGCTCTAGTCCTTGAGTCTTGGTCTAGTCCTTTAGTCTTGGTCTAGTTCTTTAGTCTTGCTAGTCTTAGTCTAGTGAGTCTTTAGTCTTGGTCTAGTTCTTTAGTCTTGTCTTGGTCTAGTCCTTTAGTCTTGGTCTAGTCCTTGGTCTTGGTCTAGTCCTTGAGTCTTGGTCTAGTTCTTTAGTCTTGGTCTAGTTCTTTAGTCTTGGTCTAGTCCTTTAGTCTTGGTCTAGTTCTTTAGTCTTGCTCTAGTCCTTGAGTCTTGCTCTAGTTCTTTAGTCTTGGTCTAGTCCTTGAGTCTTGGTCTAGTCCTTGAGTCTTGGTCTAGTCTTTAGTCTTGGTCTAGTCCTTTAGTCTTGGTCTAGTCCTTTAGTCTTGGTCTAGTTCTTTAGTCTTGCTCTAGTCCTTGAGTCTTGCTCTAGTCCTTTAGTCTTGGTCTAGTCCTTGAGTCTTGGTCTAGTTCTTTAGTCTTGCTCTAGTCCTTGAGTCTTGGTCTAGTTCTTTAGTCTTGGTCTAGTCCTTGAGTCTTGGTCTAGTTCTTTAGTCTTGCTCTAGTCCTTGAGTCTTGGTCTAGTCCTTTAGTCTTGTCTCTTAGTCCTTGGTCTAGTCTTGGTCTAGTTCTTTAGTCTTAGTCTTCTCTAGTCCTTGAGTCTTGGTCTAGTTCTTTAGTCTTGCTCTAGTCCTTGAGTCTTGGTCTAGTTCTTTAGTCTTGCTCTAGTCCTTGAGTCTTGGTCTAGTTCTTTAGTCTTGCTCTAGTCCTTGAGTCTTGGTCTAGTCCTTGAGTCTTGGTCTAGTTCTTTAGTCTTGGTCTAGTCCTTGAGTCTTGGTCTAGTTCTTTAGTCTTGCTCTAGTCCTTGAGTCTTGGTCTAGTTCTTTAGTCTTGGTCTAGTCCTTTAGTCTTGGTCTAGTTCTTTAGTCTTTGTCTTAGTCCAGGTTTAGTAGTTGATGTTGTGTTTTTGAGCTTTTCCTGTGCTCCTCAGGTCTGTACGTGGAGAACCACGGAGTGATTCACAACATGTTCTTCGACCCGGTCACCTCGCAGAAGCTGCCGTACTATCAGACCCAGTTCAAGAACGAGTGGTGGGACAACGGCCCTCTGCCCATCTGGATCACTGCACAGAGACAGGTCTGACTACAGGTTCATGCACACATTATTTATGTAAAAAGGAGATTTTGCAGCGTGGATGTATAAAAATATCTGGATAGAGTAATGCTACATTAAACTTGTCATGAGTCGGACTAGTGGTCAGTTCTTTGCAATGAAAAAACCTAAAAACTGCTGTGTTTGGCTGACAGGGACCTACAGCTTTCATAAACGTTGGTTCTTGTGGTGATTTTTGACAATTTTTAGGTCATAACTTTTTTCTCAGTTCAAAAACTTTTAGTTGCTTTTAGCCAGTTCTAGCCCTGATTGGTCAGCGCGGTCATGTGATCAGCCTGGGGTTGGGCGGCTGCTCGGGCAACACACACCACTGAGCTCTGCTGGTCAGGTCGGGTGATCAGAATGGACACAACAGCAAAGGTCTTGTTCTTCCTCCACTCTGGTGTTTCGGTTGGTGAGGAAATGGTTCATTCCCTTAAAGAAATTCCTCTGGAAGGTCTTCTGCCACATTTGTTGCCACAAATGGTGTAAAAAGTTTGAAGCACTTCAGATGTCTATAGCTCCTTACCTATCCTCTTGCACAGTCTCAAAACAAACAGCTCATTTCACACAATCCAACAGTCCCTTACTTGTGTCCTTTGCACTTCTTAGTTGATTAAAATCCCATGATACGATGTTAAAAACTGAGCTCAGAGCAAACAAAAAGTTTCAAAAATAAACTGTGTACAGATTACTTCAGATTACAAGAACAATTTTAATCAGTGTTATTTTTCCTAATCTTTTCCAGGGTCTCAAAGCCGGCTCCCTGCACTTCCCCGGCACCGCGTCCACCTACAACGGAGAGAGCGCTTCAGTCCGAGAGGTGGAACCGAGCATGTACAACTACAAGAACGAAACCGCCTGGAGAGAAAACACGGACAAGGTCATGAGCTGGTTCAAAGACCAAGATCTGGATTTTGTCTCTATGTATTTCGGAGAACCGGATGGAACTGGACATCGCTACGGCCCAAACTCACCAGAAGTTCATGAGATGGTGAAGCAAGTCGATCGTACGGTTGGATACATCCGGCAAACTGCTAAAAACTACGGTTTAGAAGATCGGTTAAACATCATAATCACAGCCGACCACGGGATGACTCAAGTGGTCCAAAATGGCCTTCAAGAAATCACACTCTCTAAAATTCCTGGGTTTTCCTTCCAAGATGTGTCATTTTATTTGTTGGACTATGGACCCAGTGGGATGATCCTGCCCAAACCGGGGATGTTGGAAAAGGTTTACAACGCCTTAAAAGGGGCCAATCCACATCTGCACGTTTATAAGAAAGAAGAGCTCCCTGAACGCATGCACTTCACGAAGAGCGAGCGCATTTTACCCATCATCCTCTGGGCTGACCCCGGATATGTCATTAATTCGGTGAGTTAAAACACTGAAGGTGTCTGTTGGTTCATTGCTAAGCGGATTGGTCAGGATAATAATTGGATAATAAAGAACTCAGACTCAGGCAAAAACCAGACCTCAAAAGAAAACAAAAAACAGAAATAAATTATCTGTCGCCAAAGGCTGACTTGATCTTGTGACAAACCGCCATATTTGTGGTGATGGCGACTTACATATTGAGCAGACACACTAGCAAAACAAAAGCTGGTACATTAGCAACAGCTGCATGACACACGGCACTTGAGTCAAGATCAGAAACATTATATTTCCAGTGCATCTAACAGCCAAACCTCTATGTCACATTTAACCTCTCTTTATGTAATGCTCTGCATTACATAAAGAGAGGTTAAATGTGACATAGAGGCTCAGAAAAGTGAAAAAGAGGCAGGAAAAGATGACAATAAAACAGAGGTAGTTTATATGCAATGTGGGCAAAGTGCCTTCCCTAAGGACACAATGGCAGCTTTTCCCACTGCCGCCCCCCTGTGGCACCTGGACTTCCCACAGGTCTCCCATCCAAGTACTGACAAGTACTGATTGCTGAGCTTCTGAGATCTGACATGATCAGGCTTTGACAAGTCAGTGTGGCCATTTCTTCCAATACCCAATTTCAAGAGATTCTAGGGTAAAGACTGAAAATATGATTTATTTCCTTTATACACAAATGGCGGAAGCTAAAACAAAATCTAAATAAAGCAACTACAGAATAACTTTGAACACATTTTACTAGTTGTTTTGGGCCAACATTGTCCAGTAAATTGTATTATTACACACATATAGAGACCAAAATAGAATCAGAAGTTCCAATATCGGAACTGATATCAGATACCAGTATTTTTTTTTTTTTTATTTATTCATTTAAAGCAAGGACAGTGCACAGAAAACATTAATCTCAGAGAGTGAAGATGCTCTGTGCCAGATTTAGTTACAAGCTCCTTTCCATCTGCAGTCCTCGGGCTGGAACAAAATACATTAAAGAAACTATTTACATTAGACCAACTTTAACAACATTTCATCAGTCACAGTGTCTCCTTAAAATAAACACAATCCAATTCTTTATTAAACATTTAAAATAATACAAAAAATAATTCATTCTAATTTCCATGAATACAAGATTTTGGATTCATCAAATTCTAAAAATATTCCAATTCAGTGTCATCAATATCCTCTAAAAAGTACATTTAAAATCCTATCATATCAGTGTATCTCTCAGATTACAGTGAAATGATGTTTAAAGTCCAAGGCAGTTTTAATAAAGTCAGATAGAGCTTATTTAATTATTCATTAATTATGACCTATGATACCTGTGATATTTTTTACGTAAGTCTGTTTCCTTGTCTGCTTCTGGGCACGTCCTTCATGTGTTCAGACTCAGCACAAACAGAAATAAAGCCATAAAGATTAAATGGCTGATACAAGGCTCTCAGTGACAATAATACAACATGAAAACGGCCTCTTTAACTTATTATCTAATCAGGCTTTACTCCAGTCACAGAGATAAGTGTGTGTATAGAAAACAGGATATTTAGTACCATGAATGAAATGTTAAAGGTGCACAGTGTCTGTTTTGGTGTTCAGCAAAAACTCAAATCTAGATCACTTCAATTAACAAAGTTTGACCATGATTTATAATGTGCAGGTCATACGAGTGCAGATTGTACATGTGCAGGTTTAGTGCAGCTTTTTATTTTACACTCATTTCACTCTTGTATGCTCACTTTATTTATGTCGGTCACTTTATTTATGTTGGTCACTTTATTTATGTCGGTCACTTTATTTATGTTGGTCACTTTATTTATGCCGCTACTGTTGCGGTGAAGAGACTGGAAAGTGTTTGTCTTTTGGACGCATGCGCACTCAACTTTATGTTGCAGTAACCGGGATACTGTGTTTACATGCCACAAGTATCCCAGTTACTATCAAAATATACCAGCTACAGTATCCCAGTTTCTAATAACCAGGAAACTGACATAACCGGGAATACTGAAACCAGAGTACTGCGTATACATGCACCATGAAGAAACCAGGATACTCCAAAAACCTACTGATGTGCATGTAAACACACTCGGATTGATATGCAGTGGATCGTGGGATACCTCATAGCTCCTTTCTGCTGGTGAGGAACCTCTCAAGCTTCCTATGCTAAAAGAGCTCAAGGTTGTTTGTATTTTTCCTGGTTTATTAAGTACATCATTTTTGCACTTGCACATTTGTAAGATTGTGTCAAGAAACCGGGATACTCCATTTGATCATGTACACATTGATATGAGTATCCTGGTTTCTCAGTGCACATGTATATGCAGTATCCTGAATACTGCAATGACCGGGATATGGCTAATAACCGGTATACTGTGTGCATGTATACACACTCATTGATTACTTTGTACTTTGCCATGAAATACCCAAAAGGTAAATTGGATATTTCATGCCAAATATCCAATTTACCTGAACCCGATCATTTCTATTATCGACTAGAGCCAAGATCTCACTGTATTACAACAGAAATTTGCAGTTTAACAGTTAATTTGAGCTGCACCCATCTCTATTAAATATTATTGGTCCATGGAATGTAATTTCTTGTCGTGGGCGGACATTTTAGGTCTGTGTCCCCATATACCAATTCCAGATAATCTTCTACTTTTTCATTAAATTGTATAAAAAGTGATAAGGAAATAACAGTAGGCCTTCTCCTGAAAAACATCTTCCAGGATACAATAGATGTAAATAGGTAAAAAGTTCAACGCAGGTTTATTTCTGAACTGTAGAATGTAAAAACAAGTCTCAGCCAATTTAATTAAAAGTGGTGCTCTGGCTGGTCTGCCTCTTGCTCGTCTCCATAGAGATGTTATTGCTTTATCTAGAATGTTCCGCAGTATCTATTTCTACGGGGAGAAGCAAGACGAGACACAAGACCAAGTCACAGGTCAGATCTGTGGAGAGGCAAGCCATCTAACAGTGAGAATGCATGTATTCCAAGGTACTTTAAAGCAACACAAACACTTGACAAAGCAATAATATCACCATGGAGACAAGCATGTGGCTAACCCCTTACCAGAAATGTAACATGGTGCAGCTTTAACATTTTATATCATTTTAGAAGTCTTATATTATGCAAAATAGACTGTTGTGAGCTACAGTGCTCAGCATAAATGAGTACACCCCCTTTGAAAAAAGATTTGCAAAACGTACACACTGCATTTACAATTTTAATACAACATTTGTTGAACTTAAGAAAAAACAAGCTCAATCAGAGACATCAACCTGGTCCCATGAGGCGTCGGTGGGTCAGTTCATCACCACAGAACCAGTTTATGAGGAGTCCAGCCCATATGACATGATCATTATATCCACAATACAATGTGTGTATGTGTACAGGCCCATGAACATTAGTGTGATATTGGTCACACATGAGAATGTCTGTGTTTACTAGTGTGGAACCAAAATGTCATTTTTCATGAGTTGTGTGTATGTTAGTTGTGTGACTGTAGATCAGTGTGTGTGTATCACCAGAAAAAGATTCCAATTAGAATTTTAACGGCAACACTGAAAGAGAAAGGAACTGTTATAATTAGTGATTATCTCGAAAACTATTTTATTCTATACTATTATATACTATACTATTATATTCATAGTTGACTATACAAATGCAAAGAATTATAAATAGATAATAATTTTTCTGAGATTTTAAAACACTCCCATTACTCGAGCTCCATCCTTCCTGGAGTTATGACCAAAAACACATATTTGACCTTGATTACCTTGACCTTCACGTGACCTTGACTAGTTTCAACCTGTAACATCCAGTGTACCCGGTTATGTGTGTGTCAACTTGTGTGATGATTGGGTGAATATTTTAGGCCGCAGATGGTTCAGAAATTGCTGAAATTGCCGATCCTTTATAATGATGTGACCTTTCAATTGACCCGTGTGACCTCAAATGACCTCGGATCATCACCAAACTTTTTTTTTTTTTTTTTTTTTTTTGTGGCATTAGGCACAGGGGCTTGACCAACGTACCAAATTTGGTGACAAATGGTCCATAAATGGTGGAATTATCACGGGTGGACAGACACACACACCGACACACACACACACACACAGAGAAACAGACACACACACACAGACACACACACATAGACACACACAGAGACACACACACACACACACAGACACATACCCCCACACAGAGACACTCACAGACACACACACACAGAGACACACACACACACAGACGCACACACACACACACACAGACACACACACACAGACACACACACACACACACACACACACACACACACACACACACATACAGACACACACACACACAGACACACACACACACAGACACACACAACACACACAGACACACACACACACAGACACACACACACACACACACACACACACAGACACACACACACACAGACACACACACACACACAGACACACAGGGTGAATACAAAACCTGGTGAACTGTTCAGGGACCAGGTAAAAAACTAACATCAATAATATAACTTAGATTGCATCATTTTCAGTTTTAGTGAAATTAGGGTGGTGCAAAAATGAGTACAACCCACAACAAAAACTACCAGTACGCTGTCTGACCTCCATCATATTTATTGAGCGCTTCAAGTCTTTTATTTGGAATGAACAAGTTGTCAACATTTGGCAACATCAGTCTTTTTCCATTCTTCCGTAATGACCTCTTTCAGACACTGGATGTTGGATGGAGAGTGATGCTCTACTTGTCTCTTCAGAATTCCCCAAAGATGTTCAGTTGGGTTCAGATGAGGTGATAGACTCTCACCCTGTTCCTCTTCAGAAAGCCAGCAGTGATCTTAGATGTTTGCTTAGGGTCATTGTCATGTTGGAAAAGTGCACGACGAACAATGGTACAAAGTGATGGAAGCATCTTTGTTTTCTGTATAGAGCAATACATTTGTACGGAAGCCCTGAGAGGCAAGAGAGAAAAA